CAAAACAGAGCAGCATCCCTGCACCACATGGTCCAGAGCGATGCCTTGACCAGCCTTGCTTTGAACTAGGGTGCAAGGCTGAGATGGTTCGACAGCTCCTCTCTTTGGCTATCACCTTGTTGCTGTTGTGTGCTGTTGCATCCAAGCAGCTTTGTTCAGGCTTTCCAGCCCTCCTTCAGCGACGGATTTCCTGGCCCTCTCCTTTGCAGCCCAGTGCAGTGGGGTTGGCCAGAACACAATTAAAATGTTCTGCATCTCTCACAACTCAAGGTGTCCAGGGCATGGATTTTTTGGAAGGCTGAGACCAGGTCTATAAAAACCAAGATTTAATGTCCCTTTATCTTTCCCATAGAGGGACTTGTTCTTTTAACTGCCTCAATATCAATACACCCAGTGTGTAGAAAGTGGCCCAATTTCTTTGTCTCCTGACATCCTGAACCCAGAAGCAGATGGACGTTAACCAGCTCTGATTAGTTGGGAGAATCAAGCATTAATTTTTTATACGCCAGGACCACCTGAGTGACGGAAATCAATTATGGCTGCCCCTCCCCCTTCCATATTAATGTGGTGGCTCTGAGCAGAGACGGAGGAACCTGTTGAAATGAGAAACCCCTATTTCTTAGTTTGACCCCCTAGATAATTAGGGTTAAATTGATATGCTATCGCACTGGTGACACATTTTATCTGCCTCTGTTTGTACAAGAGGATACAATAGTGGAGGAAGGACCAATTTGTGCCCTGCTCTAGCTAACCAGACCGAGATAAAAGGTGTCACTAGTACGATAACGTTCTTGCCTCACGCTCCTTTATTGTTGCTCAATTTGCCTTTTTTTTTTTTAATCCTGTTCTTTTTCTTTCAATACCCTTGGTCATATTTTAACTCCATGCCATCGCATAATGACGCCCTGCTAAATGTGTGTGGAGATAGGCAACTCTGGCTGACAGCCTTCCCTGATAACCGAATTCCAGCCCATCCATCACTAGGCTGCTCTCCTTAACTTAAGGAAAGTGATAACTAAAGCAAGGCCGTTTATCACCGCCGAGCTGTGTGCTTCTTGCCACCTTGGAGAGAGCCGGCTTCAACGGGAGAAATGCAGCCATGTCACCTCGCCTCCTATTTGCATCCCGTTCATCTCCAGACCCCATTTACCCTGCAGAGTGGAGGAGCAGGGCTGGATGGAAATCAGAGCCTGGGGTGATGAAAGCTCTTTGAAAATGGTGCAGAGCTTCCACTGCTGGCCAGAGGTCAAGGAGGACTTGGACTTGCTTGGCTGGTGGAGGAGGGTGTGCTACCTGATGTCACTTGCTCTTCTGCCCAAAGGGGACCTGCATTTTGGGAGCGGGCGGAGATTGTGTGCTCCCCTCTCTGCTGCTGGGAGGACAGACTTTACCAGAGCTGCATTGGAGGCTGGAAAATCCCACAGCCATTTTGAAGTTTCTCTCTGTCAAGTGCAGTCATACCTGAAGCCATGGTGTTTGGCTGATGGGGTGGTTTTGAGAGCCAGCTTCCTTCCCAAAGAGTGAGGGCTTCAGTGTTTTGGGAGGCAGCGAGACCTTGTTCAAAAGCTGGAAGGATCATGGGATGTTGAATGCAGTGAAATGTGCCATCATTTCTCTTCTCCCTTACTTGAGGGAGGGCCAAATCCTGAGCTCTTTGCTCAAGCAAAGTTGCCCCCAGTGAGCGAGGTTGAATCTTGCAAGAGCAAGAAGCCATACTGAGCATAAGAGCATGTTTACCAAATGAGCTGCTCAAGTGAATGGTGACCCTGATAAACAGAGATACTTCCTTATGGGCCCTGGCGCTTCTATTCCCCAGGAGAGCCACAGATGTGCCTTGTTCACTCTAACCTGGAGAAGATGCTGGAGAAATTCCTGCCTGGTCACCAGGCTGAGGAGTAGGGGTACCATTGCAGGTGACGAGCTTGGAGCTGGGGAAGAGGCATTGCAGGGGTGTTTTCCTTCCCGTAGCTACTTGGGGACCTGGTTTCTGTGCAGCGAGAGCCCCTGATTCCCTGTGCTGGGAGCGCTGCGTACCCAGACTAGACCAGACCCATACGGCAATCCTTAACTAAAGGCAAGCACGTTGAGTGGCTGTATCCCTGCTGGCCTGGAGCACCAGGCCTGCATCTTCCAGCTCAGGGAGAAGATGGATGCTTTGGTCCATGCTGCTAACAGCCTGCCCATGTTACAGCATGAGCGTAGGTCTTATAGTGCTTGAAAAACTTGGTGAAGTCTCTCTAGTGCTAATGTGAAATGAGGGGAGCACAAGCACAGAGGGGGAGGGGGAATGTCCTTAGGTCACACAGCTTCACAGGCAGTTTCTGGGGTTGTTGCTCGTTTGCAAAAATGGGTCATTTATTTAGTTGACATATTTATTTGGAGCATTTATTTTCTCCAATTAAAGACCCACTGTCCAGCGCCCAGGGCATACTGCCATCAGTCTCAGGGTGGAAGTAGAACCAGACTGTCCAGTTTGCTGGGCCTTTTGGTCCCACAGGGATGGAAGTGCTTTAGATGTCATTCATTGCACTGGGTGGTTAGCTGTCAATTCCTGTGGCTAACAAGAACAGTGCTGTACTCGCTTCTTCTGGGCCCTATCCAAATGTTAGGTGAATTGATAATTATTCCCCTAACTGGAGCTAGACTGAGACCTGTATTAATGGGATTGGGAGGAGAAACTCAGCTTTTAGTAACATACCTTTAGCTAACTGCTGTCATCATCCTCTCTAGCTAAATGTGAGCAGTCTAAGAGAGGTTGAGCTGATCACGTGTCTGTATTTAGACCGGTCATTTGTTTTAGATGGTTCCTTTTCTTGTGATCTTTTTTGATTGGGGCACCAGTAGAAAGCAGCTTTCCTGGAGAAAGAGCTTTCTTAGCATGCTGGTTGGGGCTGGTGGGGACTGTTCAACTACAGAATGTCATGGGCACATGTGTAATGGCTGTAAAATGCATGGACCAGGCTTGCTATTTATGTGACGGCTATGCAATTGCGAGGAGTGACTCCAGGTGGTTTATTTCAGTGCAATGGTGCTAGCATCAGATGAGCCGTGCCCAGAGATGAGACCGTGCTGTCAAGTTACATTGCTTACCCTGCAAATCGCTGTAGCCCTGCTGCTTGCAAGCTCCTTCTTTTGACAGGCTTCCTGCTTTCAGAGAGATTCCTCTGGACCTCCTTATTCAAATGTGTTTGTATGACTTAAAATATTGCTCCTAAATGATGACGTGTGCATCTTTTCAGGACCAGGCATTTGGTTTTGGCACAGGGAGTCCATTCCTTTCTTAGCCTAAGCAGGCTCACAAAGCCAGTACACTGGTGGGGCCCAGTGTGTGCTGGCTCCGTTGGCCACATATTCCCGGGAGATTCCCCTGGATATGTTTGCCAGCTTCCTTCCTTTGCTTCCCATAGAAATGGAGGCAGCACCGAGACCAAACCACTCTGGTACTGCACTACCCCGAGTCTCACATTATCTGCAAGTGCATTATCTGTGTCCCTCCTTCATCTCCTTACTTGGGAAACTGCTTGTAGGTCTGAAGAGATGCTGCCCTGTTCACCAGAGGGTTTGGAGCTGGGCTGAGCGCTCAGGTACTGCATGGGGTGCTGATGGTGCACCCCAGCTCAAGGTGGTGTGTCTAGCTTGTATCCACATCTGACCAGAGCTTGTTCCTGAATTTCAGCCTTGAGTCTGAAGTCCAGTCTGGATTATTCACTCTTTCCTCTATGGAGAATGGGAGAAGACTTTGCCCTGGACATGATCTGTGTTGGGATGTTTGAGCAGCTGATGCTGGCACTCGCAGCTCTTCCCTGCTCCCCTACAACCTCCCGCTACAGCCCGCAAGTACCCAAGGAAGTTGTGAGATTCCCCACCCCCCTCGTTTGAAAAACCCGATATCTGGGGTTGTGGCTTTTAACATGCACAAATGGCTCTAATTTAGTCATTTATTTAGTTGACATATTTATTTGGGACGTTCCTTTGCTTCAGTTAAAGATCCTGTGACCAGTGCCCCAGGCGTGCTCAGCAGTACGTGAATGAACAAGATCCATCAATTACTCTTGATCAGATCAAACCGGCCGGGGAAAACTCAAATAACTCATCTCCCTGCACAGGCTCGGCTGGAGCCACATGGCTTTGCGACTCAGCCTTCCCCATCTGAGGGGTATGTTGTAGCTCTCCTGCGAACAGACTGGGGTTGGCACAGTGTGGAAGAAACAGCTTTCCAAATCCTGGGGTCCTGCTGTCCCTTCAGGCAATCCACCTCCCTTACCAGTGCCGTTTTGTTTTGTGAGCCCTATTCCGGCGGCTCACTGTAGGAAGGGAGAGGTTAAATAGGTGTGCTTGCAGCTCTGGCTGTTGGTGCTCAAACCCGTAGTGAGACAATGTGCAACACCTTGCATCGTCAGAGTTGTGACTGCTCTTGTCTTCCAAGCACCTGCTTGGAAAACAGCCTTTGCTTTCTTAGCCCTAAAATGTTGGTCCTGCAGCATTACTACCCAAAAAAATGAATGCATTGGTGCCTCCTTCCCTCCCTCATGTCTCATTCGGTGTTTTAACCGTAAAGGACAAATGGGAAAGCACCAGGGCATGACAGGTGAATTGTCAGTCCTTCTGTCTGCCCTGTAAGCCGCTGGCTGAGCAGGATGGTTTTGCAGGGATTTGTGATGAGTTCACTTAGCTAAGGACAGCCTGGATGCTCCAGTCGTGTTTGTGTGTTAGCCACTGTGGAGAAGAGATGCATGCTGCACTTGCGCACAGCTCCTGTGCAAAGTGTTCAGTCTGAAAGGTGTCAGCAGCCTGGATGTGGCTGGATGTATATAAGTCTTCAGCCAAGCTGTGCTCTCGTGAGATTTTTTTTGCCAAGAGCTACAGTCCTTCTGATGTGCAGCATGTTACAGGAGACTTGAGGGTCTCTTCCATCTCAGAACGAAATGCACTTAAGAAAACAGAGTTTGTGTTGTCAGGACACTGATTGAATCAAACCTGCTCTCTCTTCTCTCTTACAGGTTACCAGGACAATGCCAGTACTTAGGGCTGCCGGTTGCTGATTACTTCAAACAGTGGATTAATCTGAAAAAGGTACTTTTGTGCAAACTGCCATGGTCCCCGTCTCCCTCTCCCCCCTCCCCTCGTCCTTCTCCTTTCCTCTTTAAGGAGGTGTCTAATAACTACTGCTGTTTTGCATTGAAATGAGTTATTTTCTCAGAAGCTGGGCTGAGCGAGTCCTCCGGCTCCCTATTGTATCTCCTCTAATAGAGTCTTACTGTACTTGATGGGATGTGTTCTGCAGCTGGGGAGAATCCCATTGTGGCAGGCACACTGCGGTGTCTCCACATAATAGTGAGACACTGTGAGGCCCCTCTTCAGCAAAGGTTGTGTTGGCCCCAGTGTTGCTGACTCTGTTTTGTTTTGCTGCCGTATAAGGCTCCTAGGAGCTCAGTTCCCTTCAGATCAAATTCTGGCTGATAAACATGTGGAAATATTCCCAAATAAAAATCAGTATTTCCCTTTGTGCTGTGGGGAATGGGAGCTGTCTCAGCAGCACGTCCACCTAAGAAACCAGTGGTCACTTTGCAGAGCAAAATACCTTGGACTTTACTGTCTGGTGCCTTGTGTTGTTCCATGCCTTCTCTGGGTGGTTAAAGAGCAGCCTGCTGTGCATCCACAGGGTCTCCTGGCACAGCTGCTCCATCTGCACAGAAAAAAGTGGTGATGCCATAAGCCACAAATCAAAGCGGGAAGAAAAGAACAAGTGTGATTACAAGCAGTAGCAGGGTGAGGGGGGAGGCTGGGGTCTGTGCACAAGAGAAACTGGGGTGGCCCTCCTGGTTAAACCTTTGGATGAGTAAGATTCCCTTCCCCCATCCAATTTAATGTTTTATTTGGGTTTCTGTGCCTTTTCCTGATAATTAGGGGTCTCGGTAAGTGGAATTTGCTTGTAAACAGCTCGTTGTACTTGTGGGCTTTTCTTTTGTTCTTTTATTTATTTATTGTTTTAAATGGAAGCATGAGTGACAGGCTGAGCGGCCGCAGAAGGACAATTTGCATGATCTGTTCCGTCAAATAGGGTAGAACGTGAACTTAACAAGGGATGCTGGCAGCACATTCCCGGCTGAACTTGTCAAAGGGTCTTGTATTTCCCTGCTGTCAGAGCAAATCTTTTGGCTGATTGCTGGTCCTTGGTAAATGAAATCTGAAAGCACATTGGGGCACTCTGCAGTTCAGTGACCATTAATGATCGCCATTTGAAGTTCACTAAACTTCCGGTGAATGGATAGCAGCTATATAACCAGCAGGTTGATGGCTTCAGAATAATAATATTTAAAAAAAAAAAAAAAAAAAAAAAAAAAAAAAAAAAAAAAAAAAAAAAAAAAAAAAAAAAAAAAAAAAAAAAAAAAAAAATAATCCCTATGTACCATGATGTTTGCTAAGAGGTAGGTTGATCCAGCCGTGCTCCTCCTCTGGGCCTCAGGATGAATATGGCTCTTTCCCATAGTTCGAGGCTCCTGGATTTAGTGTGTTAGGAGCTGGGATTCATCGTAACATGGACATCCAGACAAAGTGGCTGTTCTTTAAGACGGGCTTTCATGTATTGGGCTTCAGCAAATACTGTGATACTAAGTTGAGTGCTGGTGAGCATCCGTGAAGTACCAAGCACAGAGCTAAAGGCAGGAGGAGGAGGGAAGCTGTTGCAGTGAAGTGTTCCCCTGCCCAGCTCTCTGGAGGGGTAGCAGGCTGAGCATGTAGGATGGGGGCATGCGGATTGGGCTTGTCCTCCTCTATAGATGTGTTACTCAGAAAGTAAGGTGCTGATCTCCCTCAGATCACACGGGGAGGGGATGTGTGGGAGAAACGTTTATCTTCCTCCAACCCCTCTAATCCCTTAAAAATCTGAAGTTTTTCTTACTCTCTAATATCTGATGCCCTGTGACACACAGGGTGGTTCCAGGGTCCCTGCGCCCCTCTGGGAGGTGACCCAGGTTGAAGAGGAGAACAGGGACCTCTTCTGTCCTGTGGCTGAAGAGCTGCCTCCCTGGGGCTTGCTCTTACCCCAGGGTGAGGATCTTTCCATGCCATTCACTGCCCTGCTCTCTGGGGGTGCTTGTGGGGGACCCACCTGTGTTTTTTCATGAGAGAGAATTTCCAGCCTAGATAATAATGCTGGCCAAGCAGCTGAACCCAATGGGACCTCAGTCTCTTTTGAGTGAGCTCCCAGTGTGAGACAAATAAGGATGGACAGGTATCTAGCCCCCCTGCTCTTCCCTGCATAGCTCAGGTGGCCCCTTTTCCCGTCCCTCTGGCACGTTCCTGACTTAGAAATACCTCCTAGGCTGAGTCTGCCTCTGACTTGATCCATGAAGTGAAGGTGTTGGGGGCTGGGGGGTGTGAAACTGCTAATTTCTAGGTCATGGATGATGCAGAGACTTGGATGTTTCAGATGTCAAGAAAACAGTTCACGTGAGTGTAAATGGCACGTGTGACTGAGAGCAGTTTCCTGCAGGATGGCCCCACCTGCATCTGCTGTCTGTCCTTTGGGTCTCTGCTTGTGAGCATGATACCAAGAGGACCCTACTGAGTTAGGGAATTGCTGCTGCAAATACAAGGCAATGCAAAAGAGTGGGATTATGGACGGAAAGGTGTGTGCATGGGGCAGACGTGTTTGTGTACCTGTGTGTAGTGCGGTAGCAACAAAATATGTTCCAGATTCCTGCTGCCCACGTACACACGGCTTCAGCTCCTCTTTGTCTCCATTTTGCATCATTTGAAGAAACAGTCCTTGTCTGTGCAGCCTCTGCCAAAGTGTGGGATGCTCCAGAGCTCAGCAGTCCCTCTTCCCGAGGTGGTGAGACAGTCTTTCCCAGGGTTCATTCCCCAATAAACTCCTTCCCTTGTCACTTCTGTGCTGCAGGAGCAGTTGAGGTGAGCACCCTGTGCCTCCAGGCCTCTTTCAGAGTATCTGGGACTTGCCTCTTGGGCAAGCTGAAGAGAAGAACCGGGTCCCGCTAGCTGCCACGCTTGTGTTTCCCCAGGCAAACCTTTTTGGATTCATCTGGCCGTGCAGGTGGTGGTGAGCTCTACACCTGACTGCTGCGATGGTGGCCACAGTGTCTTGGGATCTGTGAAAAAGCCTTCTGTGGAGGACAAAAGGAGAAAAGCTGCCTGTGCACTTGACTGCATTTGCTGAAGTTTTACCTTGCCCTATGCCCCCCCAGCCTGCTAATGCATCCCTTCCGTCAAGCCTGATCGGTGTTTGCTGACATTTTTAATGTCACTGAGCGATCTTGTATCTCTGCTGAACTGTCAGTGTAGAGCTGACTCGGGGCAGAGAGTTTATCATGTTCTTCACTTTGATTAGCTCAGCCTTGTGGGAGGGCAGCAGAAAGCGGAGGAGGCTTTCTTTGAATGCTGCAACATTTCAGGTATCCCCCTAAACCATCTTGATAGAGAGCCACCATCACCTGGCTGCCTCCCAGCACGGGATTCTCCTGTGGTCCCAGGCTGTCTCCTTATGTACCTGTCATGTCAATCCACAGAGGCCCTGTGGGTTAGGACTGAGGTGCAGAACCTGAGCGACATCGTTGGAGCTTGGTGCTCAGGATGTAAATAGCAGAGTGCTTCATGTCAGGAGAGAGGGGCACCAGTGGAGAAATGCTTGCAGAAAGCAGGAGGCTGTGTGTCAAGAGTTATGTGAAAAGGAAAGCTGCTGCAGCTAACAAGCTACAACCAAGCTGCTGCCCCAAGAGTATCCTCAGGTAGCCTGGATAAATTCATTAGTGCTTACTCTAACACAAGGATCAGCTCCCGTTCGTGCTCCCTTTGCTCTTTTGGAAGCCTCTGTGGTTTATCGTTCCAGGTCCCGCTTGAGTTAGCGGCATGGTCGGGCCCGTGATGGATCCTCACCCTGTGGGGATGGAGCCAGCGCTGTGTTAGGCTGAGGCTGGCAGCACCAGTGATCGCAGGGTGGCTGGGAGCCTGGGAATGGGAAACCCGGCGGGCAGTAGGAGTGCCAGCACTGCCGGGTTGGGAGCACGCCATGGAGGGGAGAGGGAGGAGGTGGAAGAAGGGGAGGAAGCTAGATTGTCTTACAATTAGCCAGTGCAAGAAAAACATAAGAAGGATGACAAAGATGTCAAAATGGCCAGACCAAAGGTCTAGCCCAGATCCTCTCTGTGCCAGAGGCCAGTAGCTGATGCTTGCAGGTGTAACAAGGAGAGCATGATTTGAGTCAGCTTTCTCTGGTTCCCAGTAATTGTCTCTTCAGGGACTGAGAGCTGGTGGCTGCCCCCGGACCACTGTGTCTAGCACCCACTGTGTTTACCATGTCTGTTTACCAGGAACTTGTACATCTTTTTCTGAAACTGCTCATGCTTTTGGTTTCTGCAGCATCCTGCAGCAATGACTTTTGCTATTTAATTATGCATTAATTATACTCTATATTCATACGTAGTGTGAAGATGCAGGTCTTTTTGTTTCTTTTAAACCTACTGTTGGATCATTTTCTTGGGCCTAGGTCTTGCATTGTGTGAAAGAGCAAATAAGTGTTTCCAGTTCTTCTCTCTTGTGTTATTCTTGACTTGAGACCTCTGCCATACCATTGCTTAGTTGTTTCTCTTCCAGCACAGCATAACTTGTCAGAGGGCTGGCACAAAGGCACTGTGACTCTATGTGGTGGTTTAACCTCAGCTGGCAACCGAGTACCACGCAGCCGCTCGCTTGCTCTCCCCCCCTGCCCTGGTGGGATGGGGGAGAGAATCGGAAGAGTAAAAGTGAGAAAACTTGTGGGTTAAGAACAGTTTAATAACTGAAACAAAATAAAATAGTAATAATAATAACAATAACAATAAAAGAATATACAAAGCAAGTGATGCACAATGCAATTGCTCACTTCTTCTTCCCCCAGCTTTATATACTGAGCATGACGTCACATGGTATGGAATGTCCCTTTGACCAGTTTGCGTCAGCTGTCCTGGCTGTGCCCCCTCCCAGCTTCTTGTGCACCTCCAGCCTTCTCAGTCAGTAGAGCAGGGGAAGCTGAAAAGTCCTTGATGTGTGTAAGCACCACTTAGCAACAACTGAAA